GGGGGAGAGAGGGGGGGGGAGAGACAAACACACACAAACAAGTACGCACACACACACACACACACACTCACAAACAGATACAACATTCGACAGTTAGTCTATGGGTACACAAATTATGTACGAAAATCACAGCAAAATAACAACAAGTTAGAAAACAAACAACAACATATTGTGCACGCAGTTTTCATTTTACATGACGATGTCTTTTTTTATTGTTCACCTCAAATTGTCGTCCAATTTTTTTTCCGTTCAAAACAAACTTTCGTGAGTGACTTTAAAAAAACTTTCCAAAGCTGTGAAGAAGTAGACAGACACATAAATACACTTTTGTCTTCCCAAACTGGTTCCCTGACATTTTTTTTACTGGTTTATTGAATGAGAATCTTCTAGAAGATATACTATTAAATAATTGCAACTTTCACAGTTACTTATTTTTAATAAAGGGAAACTAATTCTGACGACTTTGTCTAAGTCTCTCTTGCTGGGACATTTCGATACCTCCAAATGACAAAGTTCTGTCTGACAGTTTTGGCCGTTTTCAGTTACTTTGACCAATTGAGGTCAGAAACCGAATGTTCTTTCCGCTCTATTCAAATCTGAATCAATTGTGTTTTATCCTGTTTTATGTATGTTTCTTCTTTCTTCTTCTCAGTCACTCCATCCTGTTTTATCTATTTTTTTCTTTTTTCTTTTTCTGTCATTTCATCCGATTCTGCTTTATCTATGTTTCTTCTTTCTCTTTCCCTGATTCTGACACTCCATCCTGTTTTGTCTATGTTTCTTTTTTCACTTTTTCTGTCACTCCTTTCTGTTTTATCTATGTTTCTTCTATCTCTTCCTCTGTTTCCCACCCCCATCCTGTCTTAACCAGGTGGTTTCTTCCTCTGTTTCCCGCTCCATCCTGCATTCAGTCCTCTGGTCTCCTTGAACTCAGTGTCCTTGGCCTCCTTGATGCCCTTGACCTTGTCCGCAGGTGTGTCGTCTGCTGTCCTCTTGACCCTCAGAAGTGACCCCTCCCCTCGCCCCAGGCGTGTCGTGTCTCTCTGGAAAAGGTGGAAAGAACTGTTGTTGTTTTTTCCCTCACTGAATCTTACTTAAAATGTGTCACTAGGAGCGTAAAAACATTTACATTTACAAAATAAAAAGATTTTTTTCTTCCTGTTTGAAACGCCAACCTCAATCTCACATAATTTAGACAATATAACGTAATATAATATATATATAGAGAGAGAGAGGGTGTGTAGATTTTTTAATTACTTCTTCATGACATAAAAGAACCATACAAAGTTTCATTCGACCACATTACACAATCTGGGTGGGTGGCGGGTGCTCTGGTGTGGTTTGCTCCTTCTTTCCTATCAAACATCTATAGTCTCTATCTCCCCTCCTTCCTTTAAACAAAAAAATGCAATTATTTTTAAAAATTGATATAATAACACTCTCTAGCAGTAACACCACTCATCTTCGACACTTGCGTGGCCTATTTGTGTTGCGAGTGCCGTAAAACCTGTGACTAAACCTGTGACTAAGCCTGTGCCTGACTAACTGACCAGAGCGCTGTGTCGGTCAGTAGTGTCAGCCTGGGACACACACACCACCAACGTGACAAGGACGACAGACCACAGCAAATACCGCGGGCTTCTCCTCCAGTTTTCCGCCATTTTGGGTGGAGAGGTGGGTATCTATCAAAATGAATGAATGAATAAATAAATGAATAAATAAAGAAACAAACATATAAACAAACAAACTAATTATTAAGGTTTTAATGTATGACAAACATATTATGCTTGAACAATAACTTATTCAAACACACAAGTATACATACAAAAAATAAATGTTGACATTCTGACAGGTCCTTTACTACATGGAAAATACATGGACATGAAATAACAATGAAGCCCCTAACACACACACCCAACACACTCACCCCCACAGACACAGCAACACACACACACACACACACACACACACACACACACACACACACACACACA